CCCCCGCCGAGCCACCCCAAGGCCCCCCGCCCGAGCAGCCCCCGCCGCCGCCGGGCCAGCCCGACCCGCTTCAGCACCACCAACAGCTCCCGGCTCAGCCGCCGCCGCCCGCGGGCAAAGCGGCGCCGGCGGGGCCCGGGCGGGCGGCCGGGCACCAGCACCCCCCGCCGCAGCCACACCAGCACCCCCCGGACAAGGACGGCCGGGAGAAGGGCTGCTGCGCCGCGCTGCTCCAGCACAAGACCCCCCAGGCCATCGGCAAAGGCGTCCTGAGCCGGAGAGCGGAGTGAGTGCGAAGGGGAAGGGGGCGGGCAGGGGCGGCGGGGGCAGCGGGAGCCGTTCCGGGCCCGACTCCAAGAGGGAACTGGGTTATACCCCCCTGCAGCCTCGCACGGGGAGAGAGGCAGTGTGTGGGTGGGTGGGGGAATCCCTCCCTCGATGCGTTCTCGGGGAGAGCAGGCAGAGTGCAACGAGGAGCCAGGATGCTGCTTCCAAGAGGCATCAGCCTCCCGGTTCGCCGCGCTCATTTCTGTGGACAAGTGTCCGTGGCCCGTGGGAAACCCCTCGGGCTACTCGCCCGCGGTGCTCACACGCGGCATCGTGCCTTCGTTGTCTGTCAGAAATGAACGAGTCCTGGATCGACGAGGAGTGAGTGCGGTTTAGCCCAGGCAGGGAGAAGCCTCGCAAAGAGCAGCGGCGTTGTGGTCGCTTCTCTTTGCCTTAAGTCGCTGGTATCTGTCAGAAAAACCCGTCATCCCTGGAGTGAGCTGGGGTTTTCCTGCCTGCGCTGATGTAAGGGGTGCATTATATTGCACGTGATGTGTGTATGTTCATAGAGATACAGATACTGTACACAGCTTTGACATTTAGGGTGCTTACTGTCCTAAATGTGTGTGGGTTGTCTTTTTTTTTTTTAATTTAATTTAATTTTATTTTAATTTTTCTGTGAGTGGCACCTGACACCGATCCAGCTCTTCAAAAGGACAAAGTATTTTTTTGTTGGTCTTTGCTCTTCAGTGAAGAAAGCTTGACTAATAGTACTGAATACTGGTAATGATCTGTGTGCATGCATGTATAGTAAACAAGGACGAGCATTCCAGCACTATAGGTGGTGGAAGAGGCTACTACTGAAGAGCAACATTCTGTTGGATTATGTATTCCGTATATACCATCAGTTCACCAGCTGGTAATTGCAACTGCAGTCAGTATTGTAATTTCCTTTGTTTAGGCACTTTGAAAGCAGGGGAATGTTTTCTGGTTGAAAGCCAGGGTTAGGGAAGTTAGGAGAAGGAGCATAGTTTCTGCTGTGCCTTCTTTTATGTAAGAAAGAATCTGATATAAGTAGTAAAACTAGATAGAAATGTCTTTTGTAGAATGATCTCTATTGTTTTGGTTATAGTAATGTCCAAACAAATGAAGTACACAGCACACTGTATAGCCCAAAACATCTTCCTTGTCTCTTTTGACAATTTAAATAAAAGGGACCCTTCTCTCTTATGTTTGTTTTGAACACACAAGCAGAGCTACAACGTGGAGCTGGATTTTCGGCTGGTGTAAGTGGAGTTACACCACTTCATAACAGCTAAGCATCTATCGTGATTTTATGAAAATCAGTGAAGATACTACTATCGAAAGAAACACCATTAAAGGAATAAATACAGTCAAGGCATGCTTGAATCCCAAAAGGCAGATCCCTACTTCTAAAATACTGCACTGTAAGACTCAATTTTGCAATCACAACTTAAAGGAAGTGAGTGGGCTACGCAAGTATTAATACAGGTAGTAAGCATTTACAGGATCTGGCTCCTATTCATCATGCAAGAGCTGGAGTTTAAAAAAAGAAGTAGGGCCAGATGCTGAACTCATGCTGATTGGTGTAAATCCAGAATACCGTGCTTTAGGTCCCTGAAGTCAAACCAGTAAGAAACCCATATAAAAATGCATAATCAACCTCATTGTTTTTTCAAGAGTGACTCCCTGCAGTGAGGGCTCTGTTAGAAACATCGTCTCAGCAAGGGCTTTCCTTGCTTCTGAGCAGAGTTTTTAACATACGTCATTACACAGGCTGAAGAATCAATTTCTGTGCATAAGCCTAAATACTTCCTTCTTATCTGAGCTCTTTTTGCAGTAGGGTTTGACTGGGGGAAGAACTGTAGATTTTTTACTTCATGCCAAAATGCACAAAGAGAAGTGCATTAAGAACACAGCTGATTGCTGGTATATCATATGATAATCTTTATATTTCAGATAGGTAGACAGATAGATAGAGGGATGGATGGAGCCTTTTTGTGGAAAGTCAGGGCTGCTGCTGGGGATAACAGAGCAATTCCTGCAGCGTTCTTCGCTCAGGAAGATTAAAATAGACTGCTTGTGTTTCCTTCTATAGCTTAGGCAAACCAAAATCTTTGTATAGAAAAGGAAATGTGAGAGAGGCCAAACATTTCTCACTCCAGCAGGTTCTTTTTTTCCCCCCACTGATTGTATATGCTAGGTTTCATCCTCTCTTTTGTCTGTTAGAAGAAAATCAAAGAGACTGCAGAATCTAACTTACAGGCAACTTGGATGGAGGGTGAGGAGTCTTTCACCACCTATTGACAGGATGCCCAATATGCCTTATGATTCAGCTGGCCGACCTGAGAGTTGTATTTTTGCTTTTGTTTGACAGCAGGGGACATATATGTTAATACCTGCACAGACCAGGTGCCTGCACTCTCTTCCTTCCTCCCCTCATCTAAACATGCCTTTCCCTCTGTTATAAACCCTGAAATTCAACATTATCTATTTTTTTTTTTTTTCACTTAGCCAAGAGTACAGGACTGACTGTTCGCTACAGAAAATGGCCACTCTAAACAGAACAGAAAGGATATTTTAGCATGTCGGGAAGCAGTGGCTGAAAGCAGGGGTTAAAGCAGCACCCAGGCAGTGCCAGTAATGGAATTTCCTCTGCCTCTCACAAAACGGGAGGTTGAGGCAGCACATTTAAGTGTACTTGCACTGCCCCTTCTCACCTCAGACATAGCTCAGGGATTTTACTCATTTTGAGTCAAGTTTGAGGGTTTTTTGCAGCCCAGCTCACCTCAAGCTCTGGAAAGAAATGAAGACCTGAGCTTTTGGACACATGTGACTCATTCATGTCGGCTGGGGCAGTCTTCCACAAGGGATTCGTAAGGAAAACCAACTGAAGCATCTCTCTTATTTTAAAGAAAACTTCAGTCTTCTTTTGTTTTTCTTTTTTTTTTTTCTTTTTAAACTGACAACTTTTCTTTCTTTAAAGCCTTAAGAAAAAAAAAGCCTACATTTTAAAAGGGGACAAACCCGAGCCCATCTCTAAAAATGGAAGAATTCCTGAGTTATGCAGAGGCCTCTAATTGTTGCTGCATGTCTTTGTGTGAGAAAGGTAGTACTGAGCTTGCCTATGAAAGGAGCAGAGAAAAAGTCAGAAGATTCTTGCAGAGATTTTCAGCAAGAATTAGGCTGATTATTATTCCGCGGCATCTGTCTCTTTCTACCTTAGGAAGCTATTGCATAAGCACCTCACAGCTTTAAAAACAAAAAAATAAGGTCATTCGTCATGGAATGTTTTGCTTCAAAAATACAGGTTGCCAAATTAGCATAGCTCAGATCACCCTTACTAGGCAGCCTCTTGTCCTAAGGGACCATCCCGAAGTGTCGGCAAATCCTGTGAGTGTAAATTTTCCTTCCCTTCTTTATCAGAATACCACCTTCTTTGCCAATCCCCAGTACCCTTCACTGAGTATCAGGGAAATGCCACAGGGTTGAATTTAGCAGATTACGTCTGAATGACCCAAATCCTGCTGGTTTTTATCAGTGAAACTCTCAGTAGGAGCTCTGTGTATGGAGGGACTTCAGGTTCTGAGCCCAGGCATTAGTGGGAAAACTCGCTTCGATCCATACAATTAGAATAATAGGTAATAATCCATTATAGTTCCCTTCATCAAAAGACATGGGTGCAATTTACAAACATTCTGTATTAAAGTGGCATTAAAGTCCTCTTTAAACCGTGTCACCAACAGTGAAAATAAGACATAGAAACAGTATTTGTCTGGCATGACATAATGAATCCAAGTACTGCCTTTAAATTATCAGCCCGTGTTTGCTCTGCAAGGTATCCCCTCACGCGAAACAAATTCTTAGAGCTCTTGGAAGAATTTTGCTAAAATCACATTTTCCCAGAGGTCTTAAAGCTCATTTTGGATTTGCATTGGGTTGAAAACTATTTTATTTTATTTTCATATTGGTCTAGGACAGAATTTTTTACCATAGTAAAGAGGCAAGTTTTAAAAGACAATGTAAAAGTCACTTAGTTGCCGTTGTGATCTGAGACCATTTTTTTTTTTTTTAATTTCAAAAGCTCAATTATGTAACTTTAAAATGAAGATATTGCATATGCAAAGGTGCTGTTTACCATAATTTTTCTTTTTAACTATGCGTTGATGTTCTATTCTATGGATTATCTCCAGGGTAAAGGCATTAGAAAAAATCCCACTGATTTCAATGGATACTAACAATAACTGTAAATATTATGTTTGCCATTAACATATTTTGCTATAATTGCGCATTGCACCAGCACAAAAACCCCTCCAACAATTAAAAAAAAAAAAAAAAAGACCAGAACAGCTCTGAATGGCTCATATACCCCAGATATCTATTCCTTTCACTATGGGCGCACAAGGAATGCTACTTTTGCCCTCTGTTTTCATTTTTTCCCATTTCCTCCAGCATATTTCAGGGTTTAACTCCCCTGAGCGTTCACACACCAGAAATAGTTGCATTGGTGCTGCCCTGGGTTCTGCAAATCCCTGCTAGCAATGTACTGTCTCAGCAGCAGAAGTTATTTGGAGTCGAGTGCTGTAAGCGGGTTTCAAATGACAGAGGTCTGCTTTGGCATAGCTACTCAGATGTTAAAGTCCTGCTTAGATGATTTTGAAATAAAGAGCATAATGAGAGGAAAACAGAAAGTAGACTCTCTGTGACTATATCCCACTTAAAGGTATGTCCATGCTGGTTCCATTCATGTTGTGAGCAGCTAAGGCATACTTTATAACACGAACACACCTGCATCTTATTTACATCAGGGCCTGTAAAATCCCAGGCAGAGAAATATGGAGATATTTATCCACAACAATAGTTAAAGAATAACAGATGAAGTGAGAGAAGGAAAAGGGCTCGGCTTAGCAAGGGTTCAGGATGAAGTTCTAGGCATAAAATTGCTGAGTAAGGGTGGCGTGAGGACTTCCAACCACAGGGATAGTACTTCTGTATGAT